AATATATATAATTATATATGATTTAAGTGTGCTAATTAAAATACATTACCTTATCATGATATTTATACTGTGTCTGCTAATCCCATGTCTCAATATACAATCGCACAAAAGCTATTGTCTAAAATAGAAGATCCTTCAGAATAAATATTCTTTATTTTCATTCAAAGCACTATCAGCTCACACCAGAAGATCACTTGAATCGTTTGCTGCTCCGTATAACCGAATTAAATATTTTATTTTTATATTATATTTATTTCTATTTCTGATTACCCTACATCATTTGTATTATATATGAAGCTCAGCTTTATCTTAATATATCAAAATATTATCATAAATATATCAAGTACAATGCTCATATACCATATATGTTCGGAGCCAGTATATCATCGGGGTTTAACAACTCGATACACTTCTGATTCGCAATCGCGCACTTTAAAGTGCAACATTCCTCGGCGATTCGGCATTCCATGCCGTTGGCTTTGCAATGATCGCTCAGCTCTATGCGTTGAGCCTGTGAATTAGTAATTAGGACAGATATTACGGTGTTAGGTTAGATAATAACAAAACATTTTGAAAATTCTCTTTTACTCTTGTCAAGTTCATTGAAAGTTTCATCACTACGGGTTTGGGTGTTGTTATTGGTTTCCATGGAAGCATTTTGTATGGGGTCGACCTGAAGCGCCTTGCGTCTGCAAAGAGCATCAGACCCAGCAGAGCAAATAGAATAATCTTGAAAGATTTCATTGTGTCTCCATCGAAATTGTTGCTTATACTAACCAGTGATCATCAATTTCTGGCCCTCTTATAGAGAGCTGTACAGTTGCTTCAAGCTGGTAAAAAAAAAACTATTTCAATTTCTCTTCAGCGAAATCTGTTTTATCTTAAATATATTAAATAAAAAGTCGTTAAATAAATTTTAAACACTTTAATTTTCTCACATATGTTTTCTCAGTAGCCTCTAGCCACTTATATAAGCTCAACAGAACAAACTCTCTATTCAGTGAAAAATTACAACTCAAAATGAAAGTTTCAATAATTATTTACGTAATTGTCTTCGGACTGTGCTGCACTCTGAGTGAGAAAAGAAACAAAGCCCAATTTGATCATTTCGTCTGGAGATATAACACATTCAAAAATATCGTAGTACCTCCAATGAAAAATTTGACAAAGGTAGAGTTGATTCATATAAAATATAAAATAACAATAATAATAACTTAACAATTTTACAGACTTTTCGATCCGCCAACATGAAACAGCACTGTAAGAGAGGAGGAGCTTATTGTCGTTATGCCGAGGATTGTTGCACGCTCCTGTGTCTAAGGATGACCAAAGAATGTATTGCTTAAATCTTGAATCGAATTAATAAAGTTTTGTTTATTGTTAATAGATTTTATTTATTTATTTCTTTAGCATAAGTTTATTGTTGATTATTTTCAGCTTAGTATATATATAATATTTAGCATCATTCAAAGATATGCCAATTGTGATCGTTACCTTCTGATCTCACACTATTTATAATTAAGTCCAATTCCAATCGTCTCGATTTTCAACTCTGAGTTCAGTTCATTGCATTTTACAAGGAGAGAGGATTGCATTATACAGAGTGAGCTGGTAGGTGCCTAGGCCTTTACAGCTATAATTCTCAGATCAATTATATACACTCCATGTGTATTAACTTACGTTTTTACTAAGCTATGTTTATGCATGAACATGGAATGGAACATACCCAACATCAGGGCAATGGAATGTAGGAACTTATGAACAACACTTAAGCCCTTGTTCCAATTACACGCCGTGGGCATGACAGCCATGGCAACCAACAACATACATAGAAAATAATTATACAGTAATAGATATCGCTCTTCGGTCTGAGGATCAGCGTAGCACAGAGTTCGAATTCCGCATAGTGCTCTTTAATGTGTGTTCTTTTCAAAGATGAATCAAATTTTTCTTCTTCGTAGAACACGGTTTCAACATCAAGAATCCAGTCCCTATTTAAAAATTTAGGATCTCATTTGCATATCACTAAGACAAATATTGTACAAAAATTTGGCTACATATAATATAAATTTTAATAAGCTTGATTTTATTAGATTTTATTAGATATATATGATTTTATTAGATATATATTAGATATAAAATCAACTACAATGCAATAGTGTGATCCTCTAGCCATATCAGCATGGTATCTAGTTGCCTGTATCAAAAAAATGTATTTTCATTAATTTATCAAATTTTATTTAGCAAATAATAATTTTCCATTATTTCTTAGGTGAAGTTGAATATGTATATATTTTTTATAAAAGTATCTAAATATTTCAAAGTTCTCAAAAATTTTAATGAAAATTGAATTCGAATATACTTCTGAGTTTAATATGAAACATAACGATTAATTTAACTTTATATAATAGATGCAGGAAATTGAATTTCTGAAATTCACAGTCAAAATTTGTTGATTAATAATTGAGGTGTCAGCGAAAATTTGAGTTTTCAAACAGTTTAATTAAACATTTGCAATTGACGTTGCCAATGGCTCTGGGATAACAGAGGGCCGTCAGACTTCGGGGTGTGTCCGTTGCGAGGGAGCGAAGCTGCCAAACAAGTGGTTGCATTCCGTAACTAGGAAGCATTTGAAAGTTTTTGCTTCGCCCACAAGTTGAGGTATGTGTATTCGTGTATAAATACACATACATACATATACACTTGCACGTACACGTAAATGGAAATCAAAACAGGCGACGGAAGTTTGATCGATAGAAATCAAGCGACTGTTCGATGCGCCAATGTTTTCGGCTTTATAGGAACGGCAGCAAGCGCACATTCACACATAGAGTCTAAGCGGACGAGAGCGTCGAGTAGCAGATATGGAGGAGCTGCAGGATAGTAGTATACACCATATGACAGCTAAAGTAATTGCTGCCATCAAGAATACCAAGTGTTATGAGCCCATCTACAATGAACTGCAGCGTCTGGTTGCCAGTCCCAGCGTCGATAAGAACGATATGCGCAACACGCTGGAGGATGCCATCAAGGCGGCGGGCCTGGAGACAGAAATACGCAATATGATATTCAATTTGGTGCGCAGTCGCCTAAAGAAGATCGAAGTACCAGATGCGAGACTGACGCCGGTGAGTGCGAGAGAGCTGAGAGAGTGAGAGGACTTTTACCTTAAGAATTTCTTCTCGTTTTACTTAGAAATCGTCACAGACCGATCCGTTGAGCTACCTGAAGCGTGCTGGCGTCCTGTGGGATCGGCGTGTGAGAAAGAGTCTAAACGCCATGTGTGGAGAATTGAAGGTGCCGCTGCATGGCCAGCCGCGCATTAGTGCCGATCGTGAGGATTTCATTGCCAAATGGAATGAGCTGAGCAACTACAATATGGGTAGGCGATATATATATAATACAAACCGGTTAAGCTATATCTAATATGTGATTCGATAGATCTGGCCAACTATCGTCCGGTCTATGCGCCCAAGGATTTGTTGGAGGTCTTGCTATCGCTCAAGGGACCCTCGCGACCCAACGAAAACAACGAGTAAGTGCTTAAAATTAAGAGTAGATCAATATATTGCACTTTAATATATTCTTGTTTATTTTTAGTCAAATTCCCCAATGGGAGTTCTCACACATTGCGCTGCCTGTGAAGAATCTGTTTGAGCTGCGCACGCACTATGCGGATCTGTTGCGCAACGATCCTTACGGCGTGCACGATCTGGCGGTTCAGTGCCAGCGCATCCTGGACAGCAAGCTCGCTCCCATGTGCCAGCAGTACCTGAAGAAGGGCGCCACGCCGGCTCCCTATCGTGGCGCCCTTTGGGCGGCTGTGCTCGACAGCAAGCTGCACGACTTTGTGAGTTCAGTTTAATTCAATTTGCTAATTTTCATAACAATTAATTAGCCCAATTATTCGCATGAGCTGGTGGTATAAGTATATTATCGAATTTGAGTTTGTCTTTATCAAATTTTGAGGGCAGCTAAAGGATAAAGTTTATAGATATTTGAAGCACTTCAATGGGCATTGAATATTTATGAATTTTATGCGAATATATCAGAGATAAATTAATGAATAGTTAGACATTGATGAAGGATTGATTCTGTAGCTATAAAACGTACTCATTCTCATCCCAACAGGACATTGAGAACTGGCAGAAGCTGCGCAACACCGTTTGGACCACCGATCACATTGTCGACAAGCTCGTCTTCAAGGACATACAGCTGACGGCGTCCAATGATGACCAGTATTTCGTATTCGAGGACGTACTGTATCAGGTGCTATTGTGCTTCTCGCGTGACACGGAGATCGCCAACTGTGTGGAGTATGAAACATTCCCGGTGAAGGGCAAGACCTACGAGGGTCCGCCGTCGGGCGTGGTGCCGTTCCATGGCATCTGCATGTTTGCCGCACCCTTTTGCTATCTGTTCGATTCGCCCGTGAGCCTGTACTATACATTTCGTGCCTTCTACATACGGTACTGCCATCGACTGACCACGATCAATACGCATCCTCAGGGCATCGTTAGCCTGTGCCTGCTGTTCGAGAAGCTGCTGCAGACCTACGAGCCTCAGCTGTGGTCGCATTTTCGTGAGCTTCAGATACAGCCGTAAGTATGGCACTGATATTGCACTGAAATCTGTTTGTAACCTCAACCCTTTATCTTCTTAGTCTACGAGTTGTATTCAAATGGCTTATGCGCGGCTTCTCGGGTCACTTGCCACCGGATCAATTGCTAGTTTTGTGGGACTTGGTAAGCCTTTGCCTGAGCCGTCGCCCATTCGATTGTTCATTTGATTGTTCTCCCCCGCAGATACTTGGGTTTGATAGCTTAGAGATTCTGCCGCTGTTTGCCATAATTATATTGAGCTTTCGCAAGGATAGCATCATGCAGGTGTCTTCACTTGATAGCATCGAGGCTATTTTGGCAGATTTATCGTCCATTAAGGTACTGCCATTGGTGCAGCTGGCATTGAGTCGCGACTAGGTGTATACTTCGTCCATTACAAATTGAAAGTACGAAATTATCGATGAGTTTCAGACACTTCTCGATAGTTCAATTAAAATTTACCTTGTTTTATTTGCCGAAACGCATGCGAGCACGCAGAGAATATGTGTATTAAAGAGTTGTGACAAGATCTGAACAATGTTCCAGACAAACTAATATTAATTAAAATATATATCAAATATTTGATCTTGTTTTTTTTTTTATAATATGACAGAGTACTTGCGAGGATTACAATATAATATATATAAATGGGTATAAATAAATCAATATAAAATTCAAAATAAATTTTAAAACATCTTTAAATTTTTAAATAAATAAAAATGAATTTAAATTTATGAAATGAACGAAAACAAAGTCCTAAATATTTATTCAATTGGAAAAGTTTATATATTCAAAATTGCATATCCACAAATTTGAGCCAATGAGCTAATTATATTAATAATTTTTAAATCTCAAATCTGGTTTTAGTTTTTAAATTCTCATTCTGTATTATTATCTCTCAAAACTCTCAACTAGCTTTCATCTCAGCTGTCAGAACTCTTTCACTCTGGCTAAACAATTCCTTATTTATAAAAGCATATTCAACACCTTGACAATTCGGACAGGTAATGGATAAGTGGAATAGCGGAAATGTATTCACTATCTAACAGTTGCAGTGTGTGGAAAGTAATATAAATTGAATTTGCCGAGGATATGCTTACCAATTATATGTTAGTGTCAGTTATAGCGCGTGACAGGCTTAAGCCGTATAAGGGGAAGGGGAGTATGGGGAGTTGAATATTCAAATAGAAACAGTTTCGCTATTTCGCATGTCGACATGCGTGTCAAGGGACTGTTAACGGGGCAACATTTAGTGCACTTGCCACACAGGATATGCCACTGATTTTTTACCGGAAGCCAGCCAAAAATCCATTTGTGAGCTGACAACGCGATAGGAGTGGGCCAAGGGTAAGCATGGATTTTAGATTGTTGAATTGTTGGATTTCCATTGCCTGTGCTTGGCCTGCAGGACATGTCTGTGTTTATGTATATTATTCCATTCCCTGCCGTCTCTGTGCTCTCACTTAATTATTCGGCTGGCCAAACTTTGAGATGTTTCAGCCCCAGCGCACTGCTGCTGCTTGAACGGGCTGTATTATAATTTAATAATTGGTCCATGTTCATTTGTTTGGCTGCAGCTACTACCTGCTACCTGCCGACTAATGAGCATCGGCGTAAGTGCATACATGTGTGCGTCTATCTAGAAATTGGTTAAATGAAAATCAGTTATTCAGTCCACAAGCCCTGTCCAATTACATTCAGCTTGTGTTTTGTGTTTGCTCCAAATTGCTTGGCCTATTGATTCTATCGCATTTGCGCACCCCTCATGGATATGGCCAACAACTACAAATTAATTGGATAATTTTCTATGAGAACTTGGCTAGAGTTCTCTCAAGCTCTAATATGTTTAATTAAGTGTTAGAGTGTTCAACTTGCTTAAGAGTAAGACATGCGTGCTGCATTAATTAAATTGTTTTAGAGATCGAAAATGTATTTACTAATATTTTGTAATATTTTTAGCTTGAACTGTTTGTTGTCGGCATTGTTCAAATATGTCAATGAGTTTCTTGATTCTCAGTTGAAAATAGATTAGGGTATATTTTAATTTAATTTACCAATAATATATCATTGCTCTAAAATTGCCAATAAAACTATATATGTATTTGATGTGCATTAATTATATGGATGATTTCAACTAATCAATGCAATTACTGTTAATTCGGCTCTCGGAATAAACAGTTTAAAGTTTTCAATAAATTGAAATAATTACAAACATTTGCCAATTAAATATATATTAATATTAAATTACATGCAAAAAAAAAAAAAAAAAATTTAATGAGCAATAAAATTTATTTATTTTCATTATTTTGTGTCATGAAAAATCATTTGCAGCTGTCAGAGACACAGACAGCATCCGATATTTTGTCATTTATTTTGCCACTCTGCGGTTAATTAAAATGTAAAGCAATACAAATTTTCCTATGAATATAAATTATATTGAATATATGCAAAGGCACAGGGACAGAGAGAGAGAAATGTTACTTTTAAGCTGTTTAAATGGAGTTTGTAAAAGGAGCTTCAGAATTTGTCTTTTTTTTTTTTTTTGTATGTGTTCAGTCAAGGCAAACAGAAAAATATCCGCAAAAAGTGAAATAACAAGCCAATCATTGGGCTTAGTTGAACTGGTTTGTTGGTGCAGCTTCCGCTCAGCTCTTGCCAACCGCGAGCCACACTGGAGGCAGCTGCTCTCCGGCCTGACTGACTGCAAATACCGGAAATGCTGTCCATGCCTGAAGTGAACTTCAGAAAGCCAAACAGCCAATCGCAGTCGAGGTCTATTGCTGATGCTAATAATGACCCTTCCGGCAGTGCTAATGCCGTTCAGCTCAGCCTTTCATGTTTGACAGCGCTAATGATGCTGCTCATTTGTCAGGAATGCGAGCTCTGGCCATAAATGCTCTATTCCTTTGCAATGACTCTTCTCTGACTATGCTAGAGCTGGACTCTATACATATATTTCTAGTCAAACTGAAATTAGGTTTCTTCACTCTCCCTTGATTTTGCCAAACACACATATATATATATATATTTACTTGTCACGCACATTAAAACTATTTTGCATCAATGTAAACAAACAAATATTATAATTGCAAACAAACCGAATAAAGCCATTGCTAAATACAATTTACTAATGAAATGCAGAGTTTACTCGCATTTGTTTAAAAAGCTCAACATTGTGAATTTATCTTCACTCATTTTTGGCGTCAAAAATTGTGAAATTCAACAAACATTAGCTAATGAATAATTCGCCAAATAATGTGTTATTATAAAAATGTTGCAATAATGTTCAAATCAGTGCAGTAGAACTGTCAGCCATGCTTCCCTCCCAGGCTGCTGCTAGTTAGCCTGACTCATGTTTCACTCTAGTTTGGGCAGTTTAATTATCTATTTTTGTTTTACTTTTTGGGAGACTAATATTTGTATTAGAGCTTATGTGTTTTAGTATCAACTAGTTGGCATTGAGCTCAACTAAAAGTTAACTTTAATTCAATTTTATACCAGATCAGATAGTTCCCTCAAAGGAAAACTGATGCATCCGCACTTACGTATACGTAATATTATATATATATGTTAAGCAATATTAAAGAGGGATATATATTTGTATTATGCATTACATACATATTACAATACTTAAATTTCATTATTTATCAAGTTCAGTCCATATCAGGCGTTATAAACAGACGTTTAAGTGTAGACCCGAGAGACAATGACAATGGCTTTACGCAATATGTAACTTATGTTAGCTTACATCACTGTAAATAAACTTACGTTTACGTGATTACGTAATGAATTACCAACACATATAAGACACAAACCCTAATTCCCATAACATTCCCAAAAAAAAATTCGAAAGCATTTTTAATGCCTCAAAAAAGTTATAGTCATAATCATTATCATTATAATCACAATAATCGCAATTAGATCTCCTCGAATTACGTCATAGAATATTCTCCATTTTCCATTTTGTATCTTAGACAGTGCTTTGAAAACTGCATCCTCTGACTTGAAATCATTTTTCTCATATATATTTTAAATAATTTTAGTCTAGCTTCTGCTTAGCTGAAAAGTTTAGCTGACCTGTTTTTTTTTTCTTTTTATTTTTTTTTCTTTTTTAGCTAACGCTTTGGGCGTGTTCGGCTTGCAAATCTTTATTTAAATGCCGAAAATGTCTGGGCCACAAAAGTTGCCACAGCAAATTATAGTAATCAATTTGAAATTCTTGTCGAGTTTTCTAACTTTGGCTTTGGGTCAAAAGCATTCAACGTACACACACACAGACACACTCACACGCGCACACACACACACACACACACACACACACATCATACTCAAGCAATTTTGGCCATGGGACCAAGGTTGGGGAATTGTCTCAATGAAACTTCGAACGGACGGTAAGGCAAAAGTTTCAAGTACTCGCTTAAATTTTATATATTTTTGTCGATTTTATTATGAGCTTGTGGAAATTGAATTAATGTTTCATTCATTTTGATGTGCACTATATGAATTAGCATTGTCTAATATAAACGTTTTTTGGCCGAAACTCTGGCTGCCTCAAGTTGATATTGCTGCCTGATTCAACTTTGATTGCCTCAACTTTTAACTGTTAGCCGAAACCAGTTGAAACTTTCGTTTAAGTTTTTTATCTTCTCGCTCGAGCAAAATAAATTGCTATCAATTTTTTGCCGTAACTTTCTATGGCACGCATTTGCTCAGCTTCTGTATCGCTCATACGTCATGTGGGACCAGAACATGGACAAATAGATGCTGCAAGCGAAAAATGCTGCATTTGTTGTTGTTGTAGTCGACTATAATTTATTAAACACTTTGCAAAAGCATATATATGCATTGCTTTCCCTTTTGCATTTGCAGTCATTTGTAAGAGTGTGTGTGTGTATGAGTATGCGTGTGTGCGTATGCTTTTAATCCTTTGAAATTTCACATGTCACTCGGATAACGTCTTACAGACGCATGCAAATGGAGATGAAGCTTAAGATATTTGAAACAGAGCTAAAAGTAATTTCAGATGCTCAAGTCAGCACTGAAGCTGAAAAGGCTGTTATAAATTGGCAAACAACGATTCAAGAAAGGGCTTAAAGCAGTTAAGAGCTGTTTTGATATGCATGATTATCATCTGATTATACTCTTTTCATATTCATTGACTAAACTCGATACTATATTCCGCTTAAGATAGTCTTAGTTATAATTCATCTACTCTTCAGCTCAGCTACCTTTGCGAACTCGGTATTTATTGCTCACATCTCAATGAGCTTTAAATTCTTGGCAGAATTTTTCGTCAGACTACTTAATGGCTTTTATCGCATTGCAACTGTTTATAGGCCAGTCAGCAATTTGTTTTTAATGCATTTTTAATTTGTGTACGTATGTGTATTAAAGTGTGTCTGTGTGTGTGTATGTGTGCAAAGAGGAAATGAAATAAGCTTCTTTTCGCTACTTTGTAACGAGGCCGTCGCCTGAGGTGATCCTTTTATTTTTTTTGCTCTCTTATGACTACTTAATGATGACGGCATTTTCTTTGCAGTTTATTCTCGACAGGA